GAACATAGGTCGGAAGAATAGGATTAGCTTTTTAAACACCATGCGTATCATAGAAGAAGCGGTACGAGACATTCTCGATAATAGAATTCATAATCTAAACGAGCATTACTCGGGCGATAGCTCAAGTGACACAGAGCTACATCCAAACGTAACGATTTGACGGACATTTCCGATCACAGATTAAGACGACAGTTTATTTTTATTAGAGGAAGAGGCATTTAAAATAGATCACCTGAATAACTCGTTCGTTTTTAGTAATAGAAAAAAAATTGTCAAACAAAAGTTGCTTGGTTTCGAGGGGCATAATGTGATATCAATAATTGTTTTGTAAGTGGAGGCATAAAGGATAGGCAAAAGTCAAATCTGTTTTTTTAAGTAAAATGATGTTTTTTTACTTAAATTCTAATAGAGCATTTTAAGACAAATACAATGACCTATAATTGAAAGTCATTCAAGATTACGCAAGGTCAATAATGGAAAATAATAGAATGTAATGAAAAATAAATTATTTCAAGGCTCTCTTCAAATAATTTCGTGTCTTCTCTTTTTGTTGGTATATCGCTAATCTTGTTGGTCGCTAATCGTTCAAGTGTATGTACATATTTACATACGAGTACCGTTTAAATTGAATCGCACATAGCATTATCCATATTTACTGATCAATTTGAATTCATTTATTGATCAAAGTGCGTGTTTTGCGAAATGCGTTATACGAAAGCGGAAAAAGTCGATACGATTTTCATCTATGGTGAATGTCGCCAAATTATAAGAAAAGCAGTACGTTTGTATGTTGAAAAATTTGTCAATCGTGTCCATTCCTCATTCTCTGTTTTTTTAAACATAGTACAAACTTTTCAAGAAACAGGAAGTATGGATAATAAAAAACGAATCAAGAAAGCAACTGACGACGGAAATTCAACGAACATTTTAGCCGCTGTAGCACTAAATCCATTAGTATAAGACAGCTTAAACGTGAAAGTGGTATTAGTCGACGAAGTGTTCTGCGAATATTCCATTCCAACAAATTTCATCCCTTCCATATCTCACTTTATCGAGAATTACATGGCAATGATTTTCAAAATCGTCTACAATTCTGTGAATGGGCACAAAGACTACAAGAAGATAATATGTTTGTCACTAAAATCTTATTTACTGACGAAGCTACATTTACAAACAATGGATAAGTAAATTTTTGCAACATGCTATTGGTCAGTAGAAAACCCACATGGATGAGAGAAGAGAACAGGCAGAAATTTTGGTCTATAAACGTCTGGACCGGAATTATTAATGATAAAATAATTAGTTCTCATTTTTTTTAATTGATGGAAAATTAAATAATCGCAAGTATGTACAGATTTTAACAGAAATATTGCCACTATTATTAGAAGACCTTCCACTGAACGTACGACAATCAATGTGGTACCAGCAAAAAGGATGATTCTGCACAGATTATTACTGAATTGTTAAACAGAAAATTTGGAGATCATTGGATTGGTCAGAAAATAACAGATGGGCCGTATGTTTCCCAGATTTAACACCTATAGATTTTTATTTGTGGGGAAAGTTAAAACAACAAGTGTATAGCGAAATGCCGGTAATAAAAGAAAACATAAAGGAGCGTACAAGAAGAGATTGCGATTGATCCAAATGAAATTCGTCGTACAGTATTATCTATGTCGACACATTTCAGAAAATGTGTCAATGTTCAGGGTCATCATTTTCAATATACTTGTTGTAACAGTAAATACGCAAATAAGTAAATTAGTGAAATATTCGGAAAATGCCTTCAAACAATTTGTTTTCAATTACAGCTAACCTTGTTATGTTTAAATAAACTTTCAATGTTTATTTACATATTGTAATACAATTAGCAGTATACCAACAAGAAGAGAAGACACGAAATTATTCAAAGAGTGCCTTGAAACAATTTATTTTCCATTACATTCAATTATTTTCCATTATTGATCATAAATGATCTTCAATTATAGGTCTTTGTATTCGTCTTAAAATGCTTTATCAGAATGTAAGTAAAAAAACATATCATTCCATTAAAAAAACAAATTTGACCTTTGCTTATCTTTTACGCCTCTACCTATAAAACAATTATTGACATCACATTATGTGCTTCTCAAAACCAAGCAACTTTTGTTTGATACTTTTTCTTCTATTGTTAAAAACAAGCGAGTTATTCAGTTTGTTTTAACACCTGTTTTAAATGCTCCTCCCTATATGAAGCGCAGCCACCGATGACTTACCCTCCGACTATTTTCTCGTATCTCATTGGTCCGACAATGAGACTACTTCTCCCCCCATTTTCATTCGCCTTGCGCGTCAGTCGAATCGAGCTTTTGACCACTCACTGCCATGTATTTTTGAGTAAACGGAATAAAGAAGCAGTTAATTAATCAGTGTTCCGATAATTCACCCGATGCCTCGATGTCGTCGAGTAAAGAGTCGTATATAATAGTAGTGTCAGAAATAAAATTATAGTCAAAACCCAAGGTCGAGAAATTATACAGGTGACAAAGTACACAGGTTAAAAAAGCGGAAGACCAACAGGGACAATGGAAGTGCCACCGTAATTGCTTCAAGCAATGTCGAGCAGATGTCATCTATGCTCGCAAATGCGATCCAGACGTCCGTAGCAGCCGCCAACACGTCGTCAGGGACAGCAAAAATATTACTATCATAGAGGCCGCCGCAATTTTCCATGCCAGAATACCAATCGTCAGAAACGGCAACGATCGCCAATTATTTTAAGCGCTTTGACTGAGTGCTTTAGCTAAATACCATCGGAACAATTTGCTAATTATGCTCGCGTGCATATAAGCGTAGAATTGAATAATGCGCTCAAGTTCTTGGTTAGCCCACTTATTGTAACCACCATTTTATCTTTATCAAAGCGCTTAAAGAGCGTGATCATCCATTATGAACGCAGCCATATGCTTATATAGCGATAAAGATGTCAGCCGGAAACGGATGATTTCCATATGACAGTTATATTAAATATTAGTTCTTCGTTTCCTGTGTCATAGCTATGAAGTCGCCACAAATGCTGGTAACGCTCGGAACAAGAGGAGAGATTGATGATGACTGAATGCGCACTAAAAACTTGTTCAGTAGCAGCAGGATTGCGCGAAATTGCTGAAAGTGCGAGTTTCTTGCACTTCCAGCTAAACACAGCTCAGATTCTAATGCCGCGGAAACACAATATTTTTTCTACTATAGTAAACTTCGCTATGGAACAATTAGAAGAATTAAGCGTTTGCTTCAAAGTTAATAATGACATACTTTCGTTGAAATTTCAACTAAGAAATAGAGTTATACAATAAATTGATGAGTAAGTAGAATTATGGAACTTGCATGATCTTGAATTTTGAGATTATTCCCGCGTAGACAATAAAGACGTATGTACATAATAGTTTTTAAATATTATTACTCGAGAAACTTGAATAAATAGAATGCATAATGTAAAATCCTTAAATTTATTTGCACTATAAAAAGTATAAAAATGATTATTTTATTTTCACGATTGCATTTTGTATATATTATACCTCCACCGTACATGTTTTTAAAATTGTCACGTTTATAATAGTTGGCAATACATCCAAGTTCTCATAATAACAAAAACATGTTAATTTAGTGTTCAATATATGTAAAAAAAAATTCAGAATGCCCAAGTTCATAGAGAAAAATGCAAATAATATTAATCCACAGTTATGAATTTACTTATTTAACTTCATATATTGTAGTTATTATTCTTTGAATACAATACATGTATCCATATAGTATATGTTCACTTGAGAGACTGGACAGAATATACGTAGTTTCTTAAGTTCTCATCTCTCTTTTTACAAATAAATTTATATTTCTAGCTTGTAAAACACTGTTTGTTTGATATTCAAAAATATATATAAAAGAACATTAGCTGATTCCTATGCCAATTAATTTAACAGACGATATCTACAGCATACAATATGTGAAATAATCTGATTAAAAATGAAATGTTTGTTCTAAGTGAAAGCCAAAGTCTGAAAATTCAAGAAATATTTCGAGTACTTGAAGATGAGTAAGTAGAATTTTGAATTATGTAAGATGCATTTATAGCAACCTATTAAAATCTTCTGGTTTTCAGCATATTAAGAACTTAAGAGCAAAGTTTACTTTACACAACAATTATTATTTCATTTTACAAGTTTATGTTTTAAAAATGAATAAGCTTTCTTTAAGATGAACGGAATTTTTTCAATTTCTTATATATCTGTTAATTAATTTGCAATCATATTTCTCTCTTCCTCTCTCTCTCTCTCTCTCTATATATCTCTCTCTCTCTCTCTCTCTCTCTCTCTCTCTCTCTCTCATCATTTCTTCAAAAAATTCTACAAAGTTCAAATACATCAGTTTCTGTATATAACAGAAAAAAATAAAAATTAAAGGAAGATATATATGACTGCATAAGAATGTCATATATATTTTGTATTTCAGAGAACAATTGATATTTCACGATATTTAAAATATTGGATGTGATGTGTAATTATAATTCCTTGTTTTTAATATTTCTTATAATTTTATACCTTTAGTAATTATATGTCTTTGTTTTAATATTAGTGCATTCGTATGTATACTTTATTTTTTTTACGAAAAATTGATGTAATAGCTCAGACTATTAAGTACAAACTAGTGTAAAGTGAACATACTATATTATATAATTTTAAGTTACGATTAACAATCAAACTTTGCGAGGAAGTTATAGGAAAGTATTAAAAAATTGCATGTTTATGAAATAAATAAGAGGTATATGAATGTTGAAAAGTAATCTATACGTATATGTTATAAGAAAAATACGTATTGTTTTTTCTTAAAAAGTGTAATATGTACTTATTTGCCATAGAACAAATAAATGTTTAATAATCTCATACATATTGTATTATACTGGTTTTCATTTCACGGAAAAAATACGTTCATCAATTGATTTCTTTTTATATTTTCCCTTTATATATCTTATAGTGCTGTTGATGGAATATCGTGTTTACATAGATCGATTTAATTTTATGTTGTAGAATACGTACTTTGATTGATGTATAATCAACGTGGCCAAGTACCTGAGGAAAACCTGCAATCTTAAAATTATATATTGTATATTTTATAGAACTAAATGTTATATTTACTTTTATAATGTATTAACAAAAAGAAAGCAGAAATAAAGTAAATACACACATCAAGAAATTTGATTTATGTGTGTGTGTGTGTGTGTAACATAAACTTTAAATGTAATATTTAAATCAACATACTTCGAAGAACTCGTTTGCAGTATGTTCCTTTTCATCAAATTTGATTACATTCGGAGCCAAGTTAATTAAAAAATTCTCGGTTATGCTGTCTTACCGCAGTTGCAGGGCATGCTCCAAATCTCTGGGAGATATCTCTTAAATAAACTTTATTCCCAGTAAACCTACATAGAAAGATAAATCATTATTTGCATAAATCTTTTATGAGTGACAGTTTTTGATGTACGTATGAGGCTGCAGTCCATTTGGTACTGCGAATGCTTTGAAGCATTTTTTGATTGGTCAATTAGTAAATTCTTTCTTACGATTGATCAATCAAATGATTTGAAGCATTTGTAGCACCAAGTGGACCGCACCCTGAAATATACCATAAAAATGACAAAATGTCCAATTCAGCGGAGGTAGGTTCACTACCTTCGTGAGTTTGATCAGACGGATAGAATTGTAAATCAGCGTAAATATCAATTATTTTATAGGCTGTACTTCTGGCAATACGAAAATGACTTTTAAACTGTAATAATAATACACATATATGAACATATATACAATATATACAATAAATCTGTTTTGTGTAGTAAACACTATTAATAATATTAATGATAATAGTAGTAAATAAAAATAAATGTTAATAATAATAAAACGTGTGTCTGCGTGTATAACCTCTGTACACTCATGCACTAATTTAATAAAGTTTTCAATTTTGAGAATTTTACGTGGAGTTTTAAAACATTTATCTTCATTACTGCTACTAGATAATGACGAAAACAACAATTCAAATAGTTCAAACGCAAATCAAACTTTGGAATTCTCTACTTTCTCCCATGCAGCCATATTGCACTGATTTGGCACCGTCTCTCGTAGCTCGTACTCGCACTAATGTGCAAAAATTCGGCACTGGGATTTCCAATAAAACAGCGCTCACATAAAAAATGAAAAGTGAAAATTTTCTCCGTTAACTTTAATAGTAAAAATTTTCACTTTTCACTTTCCATCCTAGGAATAAAGTTTCATGATTGGTACCCTGAAATACCCAGAGGAACACGTTCTCCGCGGCGAGTGCGCATTCAGTGCATACCAATGCAGCCGGTGAAATACGCTATCAGTTAAGGTGCGGTTCACTGTTATTATGGCGTCTTCCTAGATAAAATGTTTATTGAACAAATGCTGCATGGTCTCCAGTCGCGCAATATGTGTGACGAGATAATTGCGAAGAAACCTGTCACATTCACAGAAGCGTATGAAAGAAGCGCATACGTTAGAATCCACACGCAATACGGCAGATGATGTAAAGAATACTGCACCATCCAATGCAGAACCAACTAATTTACTAAGACATGCGTCGCAACCGCGTATGAAGAAAATTAAAGATTTTTCCCGTTAGATCTTCGTCGAGAAATAGATCCCGACAACGTAAAGTGCAACACGGAACGACGTGAAATCTAATCAAAACGCACATTCTTCCTGCAAAGGATGCGGAGGACCTCACGTTCGTAAGGATTGCAAATTTCTCGATGCAAAATGTCACAGGCTGCGGAAAAAAAGGACACATTGCAAAAGTCTGCAAATTAAAAGAGCAAACGTCAAACCAGGTAATCGCGTGAGAACAACCAGCTGAAAAGGTAATATACGTAGGTTGTTGGAAAAGTTTCTGCAGGAAAAGTTTCTAGTATTTCCAGTGGCGCCAACGTTCTGCTACTATCATATCCACAAAATTAGACGTTTTTAACCTATAATTCAATTCACAGTTTGTACCTAAGCCAACTAGTATTGTTTGCATAGTATTTTAAAAGAAGTTATTTTGTAAGAAAATGGAAATTTCGCGTGAAAATTTTCGGGCAATGATTTTTTACGATTACAAATATAATCTAATTCCGAAACAATGCATCGATCGACTTCATTTGGCTTTTGGGGATGAAGCACCATCCAATAGGACTGTTTATAATTGGTTTACCGAATTCCAGCGTGGACGTACCTTTCTTAGTGATGAATTCCGTGAAGGTCGTCCACGTCTGTTGTTGCCACTAATGTTGATGCTGTGCATGTAATGAATGAGCGAGACCAGCATATAACATACCGCGAGATTCAGGTATCCTTAGGCATTGCCATGAAAGCAATACATACGATTTTGCATGATCATTTGAGCGTACGGAAACTTTGCAGTCGTCGTTGGATCCCACACAATTTGACCGAAACTCAAAAACAGGCTCGTGTTAAATGGACTAAAGAAATGCTTAATAAATTCAACTAAGGTCGGTCAAATTTGGTCTACAACATCGTTACTGGGGACGAAACATGGATCTATTCGTATGAGCCCGAAAGTAAACAACATCCGTTTGGGTATTTCAAAATGAACCGAAACCAACAAAAGTTGTTCGTTCACGCAGTATTGCCAAGCAAATGATTGCTTGTTTCTTCGGTTATGTATAGTATACCGGACATGTGACAACCGTGGCTTTAGAGGATTGAAGGACTGTAAATACTGATTGGTATACAACAATTTGTTTACCAGAAGTAATAAATGAATTGCGTAGAACAAACCGAAATCGTCGCATCATCCTTCATCGTGACAACGCCAGCTGTCACACAGCACATCAAACCGTTGATTTTTTATCCAGTAATAATGTCGAATTGATGACTGATTGTCCGTATTCACCTGATTTATCACCTAATGACTTCTTTTTGTTCCAAAGCATTAAAAATAAGATGCGTGGTGAGCGATTTGAGTCGCCTGAAGCAGCTGTTGAAACATTTTGTACACTGATTTCTAAAGTTACAGCCTTAGAGTGGAAAAAATACTTCGAAAATTGGTTCGAGTGTATGCAAAAATGTATCGATCTTAAAGGCGAATACTTCGAAAAACAATAAAGCCATTTACCGAATTTTACATGTTTTTTTTCATATTGTTTGCAGAAACTTTTCCAGCAGCCTACGTAATACAACGACTAAATAGTTTCAATTAGATCAATGCTATCAACGGAAAGACGACAATTCATAACGGTAGATTTTGATGGGACTAGCCACAAGATAGAGCAAGACAGCGGTGTACCGTGTGAGATTGTCAACAAAGAGAAGTTACGCGATATCAAACCGCATTACACGTTAAATGACACGGACCGACAATTCATGATTTACACGCACCACCGCCTTAAATATATAACTTATCTTCCAGTCAATGTAACGCTTGGGAATACCACCCGGAAATTCAATTTGTATGTAGTCGACGGCGATTATGACACTCTCTTTGAGAGGAAATGGATTGCTCAATTTGTCCATAAAATCGATTTCAAAAATTATTTACAATTGTCGAGCGGGTCGAAAACGGCTACCGCTACAGTGCCACTGATATCTAACGATATCTAATGAAATTAATTGTCTTAATATCTTATTACAGAAATGTGACAAAGTATACAGAAAATCCCGTGAAACTGATTGGTGTCGTCAGGTAAAGACATAATAATTTCCAAATAGAAGAATCGTGATAACAATTCGAATAGACTGAGAACAGTCCAGACTGAGACAGACAACCATCCTCATTAATTTTATTTGAAAACAATTTATCTTATATCGAGCTGCGAGAGAATACACCAACAAAAATTGGGAATTAGCAGTAGTATATGGACAACCATGGGACGTCTAAACCCCCTCCACGTCTCCTGGTGTCAAAACACGCCTTCCTGACGTCAAAACAAACTCCCCATACGCCTCCCCCTCCGCCATGGCCTAGATGGGTCCGTCTAGAAAGACAGCGAGCTCTGATTGGTGGATTAAGGGACGGGATAATAAAAGGGTAATTAAATAGTGCATTCTTATTGATTTGCTCAATAGCTAACAAAGATCTGATTGGCCCGCTCCATAACTTCCCACGAGGTGATTGGAGAAGGGAGTGGTAAAGGATTTCCAACAAAATGAAGGGTAAAGTAAAAAAAAAAGAGTGGGGCGATTGGAACCGTAGCATTTTTTTGTTGTGGTAAGATGGGGGCAAAGTACGAACATTGGACATGAATAGCTGATAGTTTTATGATCGTCATTTTTTGTTGGCGCGACACAATGTCTCCGACGTGTTGGCGGTTTAATGAGAGTGTTTTTTATTTATGAGAGAAGAGATCTTTTACGAAAATTTTCAAGTCTAGGATTCTTGGAAGAAAAGGGGAGGTAAAACAGAAACAAATTATTCTTCGACGAAGTTTTTCTGAAATTTTTGTGTATACTCTTAAGGGAAAAAATAGTTTGTAGTACATACATATATACACATATACATACATATATACATATATATATAAAATTTATAGAAGAAAAAAAATTAAATTAGTTATATTGATAAACGTGAGAAAAATTTTAAGTGAAGGGAGTTCAATGTTTACCATGATTTTTTTCCTCATAACGAAGTAAATCTTGAAGAAGGGAAAACTAACAAAAACCAAGTGATATTGTTGATCAAGCGAGATATAGGAATTTCCATTAAAATTCGATTTTTTCTTTTGTTAAAAGGTTTATTTTTTATCAGTTATAAATTAATATTTTATGAGAATCCTTTCAAGTAAAAATATACAGAAACAGAAAGAAAAATTTAAAACGTAAAATTCTCCGTAAAAATAAGAATTCCATAGTGTGAAGAAACTTTTCCGAATAATAATGAAAACGAGAATTAAAGGATTTACTAAGGTAAGTACGAAGAGAGCAATACTTTTCGAGATAATTTCCATGGGAGAAGAACGGAGCTATGGTAATCAAATGATATTGGTCATAACTAGGAAGATTTTGCAATCTCCTACTTTTCTAAATTTTACAAGAAAATCACTTCGAGTAAAGGAAGCGACCAATTACCAAAATTGTCAAAATCTATCAGTCAATGGTGAAACTAGAAACTTTTACCGATCCTTTTTGGAGAGAAATTTTATGAATATTGCTACGAGTATGCAATCAAACTAAAGTTTAGTCCGGCATTTAGACTCTAAAGTAAATTGATTTTACGTTGCGAGTTGTTTTTAATTTCGTATTTAAAAAAATAGAACTTTGCGAGTTATTCACCAGTACGAGACCTATGTATATTCTCGCTTGTGGGTAAGGGGCCGGGGGGAAAACTGAGCGAGAGGGGTATGTGGTGCGGGGGGACAGCCAATGAGCGAGCTGCATTTATCTCCCATCATTTCTCGCAGTTTTCCTCCCCGACCCCCGTCCCCACGGGAACATATGTGTGTGAGCCCGTGACGTCACAGCATGACTTTGCGTGGCGGCGATCCTGCAAGCTCGCACCTGTGGATGCGTACGCACCGTCTCGCTCGCACTTATGTGGATGCGTCGCTCGCGCACCGATGGATCATGCTGCTTATTAGATTTGAATATTTGTTTCTCACACTCGCACCGACGGATCGTGCTGCGTATTTAAAGATGACACCTTATTGTGTTTTATTTTTAGAGATTGTTCCTCCACACCTTTACTGCCGCGTTTTTTATTGTTAGTTTAATAAAAAATCAAATAAG